ATATGGGGACTCGGAGCCTCAGGGTAAGAAACCCAAGACCCAAGGTTGCTTAATCAGGTTCCTATATCTGGGCTTTGGAGCCATACTTTCATACTTTTTTGGGGGGACCTGTTCCTTAAAGGAACCATTATGAAATAAAAGTCTATACTTTTTTCTGCCTGGTTACTTCAAAGCCCAGATATTATCCTTGTGTGGCCAGGGAACTTAAACCCTGAACCCTAAGCCCCCAAACCCTAAGCCCCTAAACCCCAAACCCCTAAACCCTAAGCCCCTAAACCCTACACCCTACACCCTAAACCCTAAGCCCCTAAACCCTAAACCCTAAACTCAGCAACCAGGACTTGTCGAACTGCCTCTGGGCGGCTGCGAGCCTCCAGGAGGCTTCGCCCGGGGTCCTTGCAGCTGTGCCTGCCATGGCTCAGTGCGTACCGGGGAAAGTGGAGCAAATGCCACGCGTTTGACGGTTTAGGGTTTAGGGTTTAGGGTCTAGGGTTTAGGGTTTAGGGTTTAGGGTCTAGGGTTTAGGGTTTAGGGTTTAGGTCTAGGTTTGTTTTCTTCCCTAAGGGTCCATGTACCCGAATACAGAGACTTTGTCCTTAAAGTATATAGTCCCTATGTAAGTACTTTGGGGCCAATGTATATACTATTTGGGCACATGGACCCTTAGGGCTTGTATTTTTTGGGCATTAAGGGTTTGGCCTTAGGGTTTAGCGCATAGTAGTTTAAGTTACCTATAAGAGTTTGCATAGGAGTTTAACACAGAATAAGTAGTTTAGTCGATATCACGGTTCAGTTTGGTGATGACGTGAGCTTGAAATTTGAATGAGAGTTCCTCAGCAAGAACCAGGTTGCCGCAGCATCTGTCGAACTGTATGTGGGCAGCAGCAAACCTGCAAGAAAGCACGCCGGACGTTCTGACCTTCGTCCCGTCGGTGGCTGATCGCATACGCAAGGAAGTCGACAGAATGATCCCACAAGCGCTTTCGAACTCCTTGTGGTCAGCTGCGTATCTGCAACAGGCAGCACCATCAGTGCTCCGAGCGGTTCCCGCAATCGCACGCGCCATTCCGAGAAAAGCAGATGGAATGAGTCTGCAAGAGTTGTCGAACTGCTTCTGGGCCTCTGGAAGCCTCCAAGAGGCAGCTCCCATTGTCTTGGCAGCTATCCCTGCACTTTCAGAGCGACTGCCACGGAAGCTCCTAGACAGCATGGCCTCGAAACAGCGAAGTGGTGGGCTACATTCAAAGGAAACTTCATTGCAAAGAGGGTGGGCTTCAGTCTCCTTCCCTAAGAGTCCAACGGACCCAATAGGTACTTACTAGGCTGGTTTTTGTGGCATTTGTTATTTTCCTTATTTGGGTTTATAAGAGACAATTTGTGTACATGTTTTTCAGAGGGTTTAAAGGCCAACCCAGCTTAGGTTTCGAATAATAGTTATGTAGGATACTATCTGGGAGAGTATCTGACTATTATATACGTACTTGGACCTGTAGGGTTCGGGTGCAAAACACCTTGACACCTAAACCCTATCATCGCACGCTTTCGGAACCAACAGGGTGAGCTGCTATGCTTGTGCAGGAACCCTTTAAACCCTAAACCCCCTAAACCTAAGTTCCCCAATACCCAACCTTTAAACTTTTTGGGTTCTTACAATTAAGTACTAACCTGCATGTTTAACCTCTGTTTCCCTGGCTTATTGGGGAAGTAAGAAACCCTAAACCCTAAACCCCCCTAAACCCTTAACCCTAAACCCTAAACCCCCTTAAACCCTAAACCCCCCTAAACCCTAAACCCCCTTAAACCCTAAACACATCAATGTAAGGACAAGCTGCACAGGAGGGCAACAAGGCTGCCCTGGCAGTTCGCTTACCGCGCAAGATGGCGGACATGATTCCAGCAGCTCAACTTCGTGGACACTGCATCCAGCGAGATTCTGGGCTCTTGTTAAGGAGCGTTTTCAAAATACCATAACAAGAAAACTGGTACCATATCATTTGCTAACTTTCGCATCGGGGATCCCTATGATGCTAACTTATGTTAAAGTCTGTAGCAAGAAGCCTAAGCCCAAAACCATATAGTAACTGTTCGAGTAACCCTTGTGGTAGATGAGCACTTGGAGGCCCAGGGGACTTAGTAAGTCGGTTATAAGTAGGGTTATAATTGGGGTAACTACAGTTAGGGTACTTATAACTCTACTTATAACCTACTTACTAAGTCCCCTGGGCCTCCAAGCAAGAACCCAGGATTCAGCAGATCAGACTGTGAGGGTGAAGCCCTGGAGGAGGACGCTGAAGTCCAAGGGCCGTACGGTAAGGGGCTGATTGGTTTGGGGTTTAGGGTTTAGGGTTTAGGGTTTAGGGTTTAGGGTTTGTGGGGTTTCTGAATAACTTCTAATAGTATTCCCCCGCCCCCCCCCCAAAGCCCGAGTTTATGTATTAATGCCTCTATAGTAGTCAGGAAGATCGCTTCAAGCATCAAGCGCTTCATGACAACAGAGTGCTGCTCAGAATTGGCTTTACCGGCCCATGATTCCGCCGAGCTGCAGATTGCACTGGGCCTGGTGCTGCATGGAGGGTTTAGGGTTTAGGGTCTGTTTGTGTGCGTGTGCGTTTGTGTGGTGGGTCGGAGGTCAAGCTGGCAAGGCCCTCTAACCCTAAGCCCTAAAACCTGCGAGGCTCCAACTGCCCTCCAGTCAAGATTCACGTCTGAGCCTGCTTCTGACCAACCGCAAGATTCCATGAGCCTTGCTGTTTACGGTTTGGGACACTACTCATGAAGTTCTGAGATGGAATGCAGGTGCTGCAGCGATTCTCAATATGCAGAGCCGCTTCTTTTCCGGCAGTGGTCGTCAGCTGCAGACGAGGAGTTGCCAGGTGGATTCGGGCTGCTGGCCTCGTCCCAACAGATCCAAGCTGCCGAAGATTCAATTTCGAGGCCGGTGGTCCTAAGAACAGACTGTCTACACCCCCATGATACCCTAGGAGCCAGGTTGCCTACATGCGTAGCGGGTTAGTGTTCCTCATATGTATAAACCTTATATAGTACCCAATATGCATGTCAGCATGCCTTTAGGGTAGTTGGGTGCTTGCATTTTCCAGGAGGCTCTTGACGCGGCAAACGGATGGCTCGACTGGACTGCCGAACTCGAAAAAGACAAGGGGTCCTAGGTACTATTCTGGGGGATATTACCCCAAATCATACTAGTAATTCCCACAAAAGAAACCCTACTCGCAACTATAGAGGTACTTAGGACCCTTTTTGAAAAGCAAGCCCTTCATGCTTTGTTTTTGAAGTCTTGACGAACCTTCAGATATCAACATACCCACCCCCTAATAATGGGCCTTGGGGGGGGGGGGTAACCTTGGTCCCGGCCCATTCTTGGACTCTCCCCGGCCCAATTGTGTAAGAGTGGGGGGGGGGGGTGAAAAATGGGCCCCGCGACAGCATCCTTTTGACGTCATGAGATCACATGAGAGCTCGCGTGTCATTTGCCGCCCTGAGCTGGCTGAACCATGTTGCCGATGTTTGACCATATGAATGCATTTTGTGCATGAACAGCACAGGAGAACGCAGCACAGCCCAGCACCAGCACCAGCGCCAGCGCCAGCACCAGCACCAGCACCATCACAGCACTGTTTAAGACACCATGCCGTGGTCTGCGATTTGCAAAACGCGATTGACGAGCAACTCCACGGACTGCCAGGGCCTCATCCTCTCGTCTAGGCACGTTTGGCCCTGCATGCACCTGTACCACCGAGTTTACTATCGCTACTCGTCGGCCACGTTGGCCAGCCCAAAGTTCGTCACCTGGGGCAAGGCTAGGTCCTGTCTTGTTTAATCTTCTGGCGTTGTTTCAATCATATTGGGAAGGCGAACGATTGGGCTGCCCAGCACAGCGTGCCGAAGGTCCCGGCCCCGAGGGTCGGCGCTGGCTGTCTCTGTGGCAGCGTTGCCAACATTCGCCCTGCATAAGGTCGAGCAATCTCTGCGAGACAAGGCTGCGGCCAGGAAGGATGTGTGGATCAAGGACCGCTCATGCTGGCCACATGTTGGGTTTTTGTCATGTCGGATTATTGAATCGACTGCCGGCGGCATCCTTCATTTTCTTTTGCAGGCAGATGAGTCTTCGGATGGCGCGGAAGGCTTGGCTTACAGAGTGTGAGATTCGAAAATTTATGGAAGGGGGGGGGGGGCTGGCCTGGGATTCCTAGGCTTCGGCTCTGCTATGCTCTGCTTGACATTGAGTAAGAATTCTGCGGCAGCCAAAGAGCAGCAGGTGCCAAGCGATGCCGAGACACTCAAGGAAGCGAGTCTGATCAAGGTGATCAGAAGCGGCTGAAGGTTCGGGGCTCACTGATTGGAAGCTGTCAGCCCAAGTACGAAAGCTCGACCAGGCCCCCGCAGGATGTTCTGGGGATGCATTGGCGGCGACCTGAGCTGATGCCCTCACTTCCCCAGGGTTAGCTCCATACATTTAGATACTGATGCCTCCGCTTGTCGGTTAGGCTGGCGCAACAGCGACTGGGGTTGTTGTGACGGCGGCTGGAGCCTCCGATGCCGTCCTCGTTTTTGCACTGTGGTTGTCATTCTCGCTTGGTTTCAGGCAGACACGGCATTTGCTGGGGCCGGCGGGGTTGGGAACTTATCTCCTGTGCTTGGATTGGTGGCCTTCGGTTTCTTCTGTTGTGTCTTGCGTGGTTCAGGCAGACTTGACATCCATTCGGGACGACCCGGTTGGGAACTCACCTTCTTCCTTTGCTGCGCTTGTCTGAGAAATCGGCTAGGCTGCCGCTGGAGTGTCTGGGGCTGCACTGGCCGGGACCTTGGCTGCCTTGGCTCCAAATGTTTCGCATGCCTGTCTTTGTGTGCCCATCCGCCCTTTGCTGCAATGTAGGAAATCCTGAAACCCTGTTCTTAGCTGGCCGCGAGGCTGGCGCAGCCGCGACTGGGGAGGCCAGGATGACAGTGCTCGGCAGATTCAATTGATTTGACAGTGCTTTAGTCTGTGGTGTGGTTGCATGCCTGGGGTTACGGGTTTTGGGCTTGGCTGTCGGTATCTTTGTCTCTGGCTTTTCGGATTGACTTGCTGAATTCTTCTGACTCATGCAGTGCTCAGCTCCCGTCCTTCCAGGCAGCGGATCCTTCTGGGCATGAGCCGGGCGAGAAGTGCGAGGCATCGGATTGGGTTCGCCTTGAGTGTTGTTTCTGTCACATGTCACATAAGTCCGAGGGATCAGGCACTTGGGGGGGTTTTGGGGTTAGGGCTGTGGCTGCTGTGGCGACTGTTGGACAAGAGCCCTTGGTCTTTGGACCTCCATCTGCCTTGAGCACAGGATGGAGCTCGAGGGGACAAGGGAGATGAGCTGCAGGTGCGCTGGGGATCACGGAGTTGGGGGTTAGGGTTAGGGTTGGGGATGGCTGTCTGTATCTTTGTCTCTGGCTTTTCGGATTGACCTGCTGAATTCTTCTGACTGATGCAGTGCTCAGCTCCCGTCCTCCCAGGCAGCGGATCCTTCTGGGCATGAGCCGGGCGAGAAGTGCGAGGCATCGGATTGGGTTCGCCTTGAGTGGTGTTTCTGTCACATGTCACATAAGTCCGAGGGATCAGGCACTTGGGGGGTTTTGGGGTTAGGCCGAGAAGGCAGGGCTAGGGTTCTTGTGGGTTCTCGTGGGTTGTGCTGGGTTTGGGGCTTGGCCGGTTTGCTTGGGCTTCGGAGTCCTGTGCTGACATGTGCTGACAACTCCCGCCTCACATGTGGATCAAAAGGGGAGAAGCTTGTTTGTTTGTGATTTATCCGGATACGAAGCCAAGCTGTGAACACATGCCCTATCGACCCTCTAGGTCTGAGAAATATCATCGACCCCGACATTGTCGGAGAACAGGCATCGCCAACAACCCAGAAGCCAATCACTAGGATTATATCTCACTATTGTATTTATATCTAGGATCGTGAGGCCACTAGAACGGCACGGGGGAAGGGTATTAAGCCAACATGTCGGCAGGGTTGCACTTTTTTTTTTAATAAGTAAGATTATAAGCCATTATGACGGCACGGGGGTAGGACTAAGCCAATATGTCGGCAAGGGGGACCATGATACTTAGGAAGTTCTTGCGTTAGGGTAGCCTGTTGCACTCGCCTTTGCATGGTTTTCTGATTGTGGCTGGACGACTGGCGACTTGAGCTCTGGCATCGCTGCTGTGCTGCATCTGTCTTACCTGGCTATTGTTGGGCAGAGATCCATGCCTGGCTCATGCCCGCTGCAATGAAGAGGCCGGCCAAGAAGGCGATGAGTGCCATGAAGGCGATGAAGGCCAAGGCCACGAAGGTCCAGAGAAAGCCTGCGAAGGGGGTGAAGGCCATGAAGGCGATGAAGGCAGCAATGAAGGCGATGAAGAGCATGAAGGCCATGAAGGTCCAGAGAAAGCCAGCGAAGGCGATGAAGGGTGCCATGAAGGCTGCGAAGAACACCACGGAGGCGGCGACGCAGACGGAGCCGCGACGTGTGGGCTGGGCTTATGGAGAGGTCCACGGTGATGTCGTGAACGTCGCCCAGCTGGATGAGACCGGGTCAGAGTTCTGCAGCATGGGCATCCCGGCTCACTTCAGCGTGTCGCAGATGATCAATGAGCTGGA